AAGAGAGCTGGTGCCCGCGCTGGTACCTGGAGCTGCCTGTTCCACTGCAGCAACCACAGAGAGTTTTCCAGCCAGAAAAGCAATGCCCTAAAGATCCCATAACACCAAGAAAGAATCATCTAGCAGTGGTGTCCACAAAAGTCAAGATGAAATACACATTTTCTGGTGGCTATCACTTTTCAGGCTCTGGGCTAGGTATTTCATGTGTTATTATTTTCACAACAGCTGACATGGTAGTTATTATCTTTCCCTCTTACAGATAAAGAAATTATGGTAAAGAGAAGCCCCCAAATACAAACAGATTCAAACAGGTAACTTAAATGTGTGATATGGTGTAGTCGAGGCAATAGGGAACTGTTTCATATACTGCTATAGGTGCGAAAGTAAAATGGTTCAGCTGCTATGGAAAATGTTTTGTGGTTTCTTAGAAAATTAAACATAGAATTACCAAGTAACCCCAGAATCACCCTCCTAGGTATACACCTTAAAAACCACCAAACAGGTACTCAAACAAGTATATACACACACATATTCAAATGTACTCACAACAGACCAAAGGTAGAAACAGCCCAAATTTCCATCAGTGGATAAACAAGTTGTGTATGTGTATATAAAACATATTATTTAGCAATGAAAAAGGTATGAAGTACTGACATACTATTTGTCTATAACTTCAAAACATATTAAATGAAAGAAGCCAGACACACAAGGTGACATATTATATGATTCCATTTATATGAAATATCCAGAATAGACAGAGACAGAGGGAGATTGGTGGTTGTCAAGGTCTTGGGGGAAAGGAAAATGGGGAGAAACTGCTAGTAGGTAAGGGGTTTCACTCTGGAGTGATGGAAATGTTTAGAACCAGACAGAGTTGGTGGTTCCACAACACTGTGAATGTACTGAATGCCACTGAATTGTTCACTTTAAACAATTATGATTAATTTTATGTTATGTAAATTTCATCTCAATGAACTAGAAAAAAACGTATCTGTCATATTTGATTTAAAAAAAAAAAAACCTCTGTTCTGGCTAAACAATAAACATTAAACTGCTCAAAGTTACAGAACAAGTGGTGATGGCAGGCTTAGGATCTTTCCACTATTCATTAGTGTCTCTCTAGAGAAGTAATAGAATTGAAGCAGGAACCCAATTAGGAGGTAATGGAATAATCCTTGAGTGAAATGTTTGGCATTTAGACTAAGGAGATGGCAGTGGGAGAGACAATAAAGGGATAAATTTAAAAAAAATTCAAAATCAGAATGTTAAGTCTAAGTGCATTAATGCCTATAAAAGAGTCAAAGATAAAACTTTCAAGGTTTTGAACCAAAGTACAAATATGTAATAGTTTAGCACATATAAAATATGATTCTAACTCAAATAAAATCTCAGACTCAAATTTATGTTTGTTAAAATAATCATAACACCCTATACATTTTGTTTAATCTTATTTTAGTCCCTTTTTTTTTTTTTATTTTTTTGAGATGGAGTTTCACTCATGTTACCCAGGCTGGAGTGCAATGGTGCGATCTCGGCTCACCGCAACCTCCGCCTCCTGGGTTCAGGCAATTCTCCTGCCTCAGCCTCCTGAGTAGCTGGGATTACAGGCACGCACCACCATGCCCAGCTAATTTTTTGTATTTTTAGTAGAGACGGGGTTTCACCGTGTTGACCAGGATGGTCTCGATCTCTTGACCTCGTGATCCACCCGCCTCGGCCTCCCAAAGTGCTGGGATTACAGGCTTGAGCCACTGCGCCCGGCCCTTTTTAGTCCTTTTTATGTCTTTCAGAATCACACCACTAAAAGTCATGGCTAAATATTCCAAACAGATTTTAATTCCAAACCAACAACATTATTAATGTTTACTAATATAATCAATTACAATGCAATAGTTAACTTGGAGCTGGAGTAAACAACTAAGTCTAATCAGTAGGATTTCTACATATGAACCTTATCTATCAAATTATGCTGCTTGTAAAGTTAAAATTAACTCTGCCTCAAGAATCTAGCTTAAGGCCCAAAGTCTTTGCCTATGCCCACTTTTAAGGCCCCCAAATCAAGCTGTTTTTCTTAGGAACCTAAGTGAACTCCAATGTGACAATGAGTACTACTAGACTTCCCTATCCATTTATCTCAACCTTGAGACTAGGTTGGATTGCAAAACTTACCAGATAGGTCTCAAGTTCTTCTTATTTGCTTATTTTTAATAATATAATGAACAACTTAAAATTCATCACCAAAAAGAGAACTAGAACCTCGACAGTAAGTTGCTTATGTACTCTTTCCCTACCTATCCCAAGCCACCTATTCCCCTCTACCAAGCCACAAGTTCTCATTAAAAACAATACTGGATAGTTGTTTTCAAAAAGGTATAATATGTTATATTATACAGCAATATATTCACAGAACAGGCATCAAAAAAATTCTAGCAAAATGATTATTTAGCCAGTGGCAACGAAAAGTAGCACAAAGCTTTTATAAAACAATTCAGCAAAAATGTACAAAAAGCCATTCTATTAAATTTGTGCAAAACTAACTGTGGTTGTGCTAAAAAAAAGCAATTACTTTTGGACCAACCTAAAATGTTAATACCCTCTAACCTCATAAATTCATTTCTATAGTAGCAAATACCCCCCCAAAAAAAAAAAATATGACTAACACAATGTAGAAGAGGATGATCATTACAGTGTTATTGGTAGGAAGGAAAAGTTGGACAACATAAATAATAAGAAAGAGTGACTTAAAAAACTGAACATTTAGCTAAAGTCTATCCTTTGCTAATCTAGGCCAAAATAAATTTTTTTAACTTGAAAATGTCATAATTTTGGATGTTTCTCAAATTCATAAAATCTAGTTCTTTATCCTTATATACAATTCAGAACATTAACGTTAAAAGTGAGGGATGATAACTCAGATGGATATAGGCAAGTTATACGCTGTGAGGTCTGGAGTATCAGATCTGTTTTCGAATGTACTTATTAACATCATGCTAAATATTTTTTTAAAACTGAAAAAGTCTATGAAATAAAATTATTTAAAATTGTATTAATGGAAACTAATGTTTTCTGAGCTAGGCAACATAAATACTTTCCTTCAAAGCAAGAATTTACCAATACTCAAATTATGAGCTGGAAATATTTTTTCAAAGCAAAATGCCATACATATTATGTGAATTATAGATTAATTAGATTTATCCTACAGTATATTTGAGTGAAAATATAAAAAACCATTGGCAACAAAATTTTAGTAAGTAATGTTTTCTACATAAAGATAAAATGAGTAAGGTAAAAACATAAAGTATAAATGATTTTTAGAGTAATAAGGAGTAGTATAGGGACACTTCATCAAAACTAAAACATTTGCCAATCTTTATAATTACATAGTAAGTAATTCAGGAAGCTAGTATATATCATTCATACTGGAGTTCCCAATCTTTAGACTGTGGACACTTTAAATGAGAATACAAAGAGCTAATGCGAGAGATCCTTGAATCAATATGCACATGTATATTTTCTTATCAATGAATCCTAAAAATATAACTACTATCATTTGGTGGTCTAAAATTACTTTTGATGTTAAAATAGAATTCTCATTTTTCCAGCTAGAAATTATGAGTTCTTTACAGTAAATAATTTTTAGAAACATGTATAGTAGTCCCGCATTATCTGCAGTTGCAGTGTCATTTTCTGTGGTTTCAGTTACCTGTGGTCAACCGTGGTTCAATAATAGGTGATTACAGTACAAGATATCTTGAGAGCGAGAGAAAGAAACCACATTTATATTTACCAAGGCATATTATAATTTTTCCATTTTATTATCATTGTTAATCTCTTACCTAATTTATAAAGTAAACTTTATCATAGGTATGTATGTATAAGAAAAAATATAGTGTGTATGTGTGTGTGTATCTAGATATAGATTAGATATATAGATATAGAAATAGATACAGGGTTTTGTAGTACCCAGGGTTTGAGACATCAAGTGGATGCTTGGGAGATATCCACCATATATAAGAGGGGACTATTTTACTACCCATTACAACTTATTGTTTGACTAAGTTATATACATTTTTGAAGAGCACATTAAGATTAAAAGTAAAATATCAGTACTCAGAAAATATAGATCTTAATTTTTTAAAAAGTAAAGTATTTAATGTCTATATGCAACTGAACATGATATCTAAGAACAAAGTCACAGAATTACAGTACCACTGAGAAATAAAACATACAGTACTTTAAGAATACATGATATCAAGAACATACAGTCCAGTGAGTTCAATGTAACTGGGGAAATTACTAAATGACACTGATCTCATTTTCCTTAGAACTAGGAAAATCTCAACCTAAACATTACATCTTATTAAAAAAATTAAAATAGAGGAGCTAGTCTTAATGTAAAGTGTAAAACCATGAAACTTTTATTTCTCTGAATTCATCTCCTAACTGGAATTTAAAGAAACAATTGTGATGAAGATAGGATGTAATGTGGCTAATATGCTTCCAGTTCTATGAACTGTCCTAAAATTGTTTTTTCAGTGAACGTTGACTCAACACAGTTGATAAAACCATAAAACTTTTATTTTATGGTTTTGCACTTTACATTTAAGACTAACTCCTCCCTTTTAATGTTTCTTTCAGAAGAAGTAATGTAAGAAAAAAATCATAATCTAGGGCTAGTCAAAGAATTCTTAAACATGTCACCAAAAGCACAGTATATAAAAGACAAATTAATAAATTGGGCTTCATCAAAATATAAAACTAAAACTGAAGCCAATTTTATAAATGAAAAGGTAAAGAACGACCTGTTAGCATTATACTTAGCATTATACTGCAGCAATAAATATTTCAGATAATATATTGCTATACATATAATCTAGATTTGATAAATTTGTGAGGAAATATAAAAATAGTTTTTCTTTTGACTCACCTCTAAGCATGCTACCAGCCTAGGGTGTACTTGTCACTTCTTCATTTAATGAAAGTTAAGTATTAACACTTACCAGCAGCTTCAAGAACCAGCTGCAGTCTGGCTTTGGCCTGTTCAGCCGGCGGCTAAAAAAGAAAAAGAAAAAAAAAAAAACTATAGAAGAGATTTACAGATCAGTTTTAATAGATGGAGCTTTAAATTAATGCATTTGTATGCCAATATTAGAAAATTTAGAGAGCTTTAACATAACTGATATTAAAATACATCACATCTTGCATTTGCATATACGACGCAAGAATGATAAACTGCTTTTTTCTTCTGTAAAAAGTTTTGCTTACTATCCAACATTGTACCAATCAGCAACAACATAATTGACTGAAATTACTAACAAGGCAAAGCACACACATTTAAGAACATATTCTCAAGTTGTGTTACTTCTTTGCATATAGAAACAGGCAAGCAATATATGAGAATTTAAATAGCAACCTTCAAGCCCAATATTTCAGGCAAGTCAGACTCTAAAACCAAATATTTTCTGCTTTCCTAACTGGAATTTAAAGGAGTAGTTGTGATAAAGATAGTTTACAATGTGGCTTATATTTATGAACTTCTAGTTCCTATGAACTATCCTAAAATTGTTCTTTCAGTGAACCTTAATTCAATACAGTTGATAACAATGAAACTAAACTAATTTCCTACCAGTGACTGCATGCTGAGATTTATATTAAACAACAACAAAATAACATTAATTTGTCAGGGTTATGACTTTTTACTAAAAACCTGTTAAAAAAAACTATTGTCCATACTTGAGACTTCACTTCATATATTTATAAAGATGTCTGCAATAAATAAAATAACCCGATTTTATATATGAAAATCATTTCAAAATTAATAATTTATGTGATACATTAGAATATTTTGCTATTTGTAAAAAGAAACCCAACCTGAATAAAAGAATTAAACAATTGGATATAGGAAGAAGATGCTATGCTCAGAAAAGTTTAAGAATTTGAATCGTCCTTCTGAAAGACCTATAGGAAACAAGATGGAAGAGTGGGAGATGATACAAGTGAGGAGACTGGAAGAACCTTTTATATCACAGAACAGGGATTAAGAAACTATAGCCCTGGACCAGTGGCCTGGCTTTGTAAATAAGTTTTCTGGGACATGGGCTATGCCATTTGTTTACATACTGCCTACGGTGGCTTTTGTGATCAACTCAACAACAGGAGTTGATTATTTGAAGCAGGAATCTTAGGACCAGCAGAGCCTAAAATATCTATCTGAACCTTAAAGAAAAAGTTTGCCAACCCCTGCCACAGAAGATGAAGAGACTTAGAAAAATCTTAAACAAAGGGGTGATGTGATCAGATCTGCACTTTGATATATCACTCTAGCAATATGTTTGAGGATAAATGGAAAGGAATGTGTCTAGAGGCAAGGAGCTCAGTTAGGTGCCAAGTAATGAATTCCAGGTGAGAGGAAGGCATGAGCTGGAACAATAACAGAAAGGTCAAACAGGACAACACAGACTTGAAAATATTTAATTGGTAAAACAAAAGGGCTGACTGGTTCTCAGAGAAGGAGGAGATGACAACCAATAAAGAATACTTTATGTCATATGTTTAAGGGAAAATGTATATGAGCATGCTTATTAAGTTCTAAAGTATTGGAAATATATGACATCAAATTAAAATATCAAAGCAAAATATCAATGGAAGATTGTGATATCTACTGAATATAACAGTCAAAAATTAAAATGTCTAAAGGTAACAAGCCACTGAAGCAAACATTTATGATAAATGGCAAATGACATTTGACATAAGTATCAGAAAGCACAGTGAGTGTGGAGAACTGTCTAGCACATGCCCCAACTAAAGGAAGCAGCTGATATCGAGCACCAACTGATTGCTGTCACGCAGAAACGCAAGCCCAGAGTTATGAAATTTGTTACTTTTTCACAAGCATTTAAGTCACCATGAAAACCAATACGGAACTGTGGGGATAAATACAATACTTTTATGGGCCAGATTCAAGCAGATCCTAAGCAAGTGAAGAATTAGGAAACATGCATGTTAATATCCTTGTAAGTAGTGTCCTTTGATAGAAAAATCCTAGATACTTTATCGGTTATTTCATGAGAAAGGGATTTTTTTTTTTTTTTGTATTTCATAAGGAAAGATTTTTTTAACAATTAAGAAATGTTTAAGATATAGAAAAAATATGCATAATAACGTGTACCCAACATTCAATAAAACATTAATAGCAATATTGTCCAAGTCTTGTACCCCATGAAATCTCCCTCTATAGATCTCTTCCTCTCATTATCTTGAAGATATGGTGACTACTATTCCTAAGGAAAGAAGATTCTTTTCCTTTTTTTTTTTTTTTTTTGTAAGAGACAGCGTCTCACTCTGTTGCCCAGGCTAAAGCACAGTAGTGTGATCATGGCTTACTGCAATGTTCAACTCGTGGGCTCAAGTAATCTTCCTGCCTCAGCTCCCTGAGTAGCTAGGACTATCAGTGTACACCACCACATCCAGCTCCTTTTTTCTGTTGTTTCACAGAGTTGATGTCTAACCATGCTGTCCAGGCTGGTCTCCAACTCCTGGCCTCAAGCAATCCTCCCACTTTGGCCTCCCAAAGTACTAGGATTACAAATGTGAGCTACTATGCCCAGCTAGGAAAAATTCTAAATGGCGTATGTTTATAATAAATACACCTGTTACGATGTATTTATTTTTCACTAATAACTCCAACAATTTATAATACAGGATTCATATTTCAAAGACAAAGAAAACCAGAAAATGACAGCAGTTTAATAATTTACATCACTTATAAATGAGGAACTAAAACTAAGACTCTGGCTCCAAATCTCAGGACCATCCTAACTAAACCACTAGAATACTCGGGAAATAAAATCAATTAATACACACCGATAATAAATACATATAGAGTTTTGATTCTGTTTAGAAAAAAATGTCCAAAATAACATATTTACCCAGTAAATGAAATTTGATTCTAAAAACATTTGCCTGTGTAGATACAACTTGCTAAATTTTTTTTTATAAAATAGAGGGATGAACTCCAACTATGGGGATAAATATACTGTTAGATTGATCAAACTTTTAAAAATAATATGTATTTTATAAATAGTTTTATTTTGCTTTTACTTTGCTCAAGCCTTTTCTTGAATAGGTTGTCTGTCTGCAAAGAACCTTTTCTTACTATGACTGATGAATAAGTTGAATGGGTGTAAGATTCTTGGGCTGCAGTCTTTTTCCTCTCAGTGACCTGCTCCTCAAATCTCTTTCACAAAGGCTCTCTTCCGTTGTTTCTAGGCTTGAGTTTGTCTCAGAGGAAGGAAAGCATCACCACAGGGCTCTTGGCTGAAACCCTCTGTGTCCCACCTATCTACCTGCATCAGTAGCTCTCTGGCTCAGAAAAAGTAGCTCAGTTGGAGATGAAAATTAAGACAAGGCAGTCTGATTTATGCTGCCTTCATTCTGACTGCTATCTATAGTTATTTTTTAAAGACAGAATTAAGAAGAACAAAAGAAACAGAATATAGAATTTTAAAAAAAACATTTAATACCAACCCATTTTTAGTTACCTATCATCATACTAGCTGGCTTAGAATGAAAACACCTTTGGGGTTTGTGTGCTGAAATTTCTAATGCTTTAGTTATTTTAGCATGTATTAGACTCCAGGATCAGTATAAATTTCATCTAAAATTGGTAAATGTTATTCAGAATCAGAAATTATAACTTAGTGAATCAATAGTATTACCAAACATAGATGCATAGAATATAGCAATTTCTCAAAAAAAAAAAAAAAAGTTTAAACTGGGACATGTTTAAGAGCACAATGTCACAAGTACTTCATATGATAGAAACTTTATGAGAAAAAAAAATATTCCATTAAAAAACACTATTTCTCCAGATAGAAGACCATGGGAAGACACAGAAAGAAGACAGCCATCTGAAAGTCAAGAAGAGAGGCCTTGGAAGGAACCAACCCTACCAACAATTTGATCTTGAACTTCTAGTCTTCAGGACAATGAGAAAATACATTTCTAGGCTGGGCACAGTGGCTCATGCCTGTAATCCTAGCACTTTGGGAGCCCAAGGTGGGCAGATTGCTTGAGCTCACGGGTTCAAGACAGGCAACATAGAAAAATCCTATCTCTACAAAAAAATCCCAAAATTAGTTAGACATGATACCATGTTTTCTATAGTCTCAGCTACTCAGGGGACCAAAGTAGGAGGATAGCTTGAGCCTGGGAGATAAAGATTGCAGGGAGCTGAGACCGTGCCACTGCACTCCAGACTAGGCAACAGAGCCACCAGAACTTTTCTCAAAAACAAAACAAAACAAAAAAACAAATTAAAAAAAACTCCAACCGACCCAACATCAGTAGTACATAAATAAAGTATACCACAAAAATAGAATTACAAAGAATATAAGTATCATTCCCTTAAAATATAAATGGTAGTGGTGACATTAATAGAGCCGTCAGAGGCTGGGTGCCAGTCAAAATTATGGTACAGTATTTGTACTGACTTTGTTTTTTTATTATTATATCATAATAGTTTTAACTTTAATGCAGTCTTTAAAGACTTAAACTAAAAGTTTACATTATTCTTAGTGCTCTATTTTTTTTTTTTTTTTTAAGAGAGAGCATCCCTTTGTTGCCCAGGCTGGAGTGAAGTGGCATGATCTCAGCTTACGCCTGTAATCCCAACACTTTGGGAGGCCAAGGCAGGTGGATCACCTGAGTTAGGGAGTTCCAGACCAGCCTGACCAATATGGTGAAACCTCATCTCTACTAAAAATACAAAAATTAGTCAGGCTTGGTGGCATGTGCCTGTAATCCCAGCTACTCAGGAGGCTGAGATGGGAGAATCACTTGAACCCAGGAGGCAGAGGTTGCAGTGAGCTGAGATCATGCCACTTCACTCCAGCCTGGGAGACAGAGGAAGAGCCTCTCTCAAAAAAAATAAATAAATAAAAATAAAAAAAATAAAAAAAATGGAACAGTAAGAATCATGTAAACTTTTAGTCTAAGTCTTTAAAGGCTGTATTAAAGTTAAAACGGACTATTATGGTATAATAAAAAAACAA